GAAATTATTATGAATAAATACATTGATAATTTCATTTTCTAACTCATATTGATGACTTAGAAAATAAATATTTTGATCCAGAGAAAGACGAGAATTATAAAAAGAATTGCGGTCAATGATACGACAGATCTAGAAAAGAATACCTGAAAAAGAAAAATAAAAAAGGAAAACATTAGAGTACTTATCGAGAAAAAGTGTAAACAGTAAAGGATTTGAGAATGAGGTAACATCAGTAATAGTCAAGGGCACCTACTCAAGGCAGCTAAGCACCTGCACAGTTGAAAAATGCAGGTGGGTATTGTGAGCTAGACGTGATTATCAGAAAAAGAAACAAGAAGAAAGGGGGATAATCATGATACTCTGACTACACTATAAGCCAAACATAGGACATGCGTATGTGAGATGTTGGACATCCGGCAAGAAAAATAAAAAAATAATAAAAGTGATAGGTACATTGTAACTCACGACACTCCGAAGCAAGATGATGGACATTCTCAGAAATGGAAACCATGGATATTCTGACAAATGTGAATCATATTTTGAAGATAGCGATCACACTGAGGACAAGACGAGGGATCCGATGTTAAAAAACATAAAATTTGAGAATATAAGAGAATATTAAACAAGATATGGGAATACGAATAAGAAAAAGTGTGTACCATCATGAAGACAATCAGGGAACAGACGGAAATGGTGTGAGCCAAAGTTATTTCGACCATGAGGATGAGCACGGGAATTACCAGAAAAATCAGAGCGAGGAGAGTGACGATGGTTGGTTATACTTAGTGAGAATGTGAAAACAATGAAAAGAGAAATCACATTCTTAAATAGCAAGATTAAGGTTTGGAAAGGAAATTTTACAACAAACAAAATGTATAAACAGATACAAACAAAAATGCACCACAAAAAACTTTATTGTGATCAACATAGATTAAAAATAGAAACTATGATGATGAGATGATCCATCCAATTCAAAATATTCTAATAGATCGATATAACTATCCTGCAACATAAGAAACTCATGGAGAAAGATATAAACGTTCTGATCGAGGGAGATGGAATGGTCATAATGATCAAAGTTATCGAGATCTCTGCGAATACGATCATATACCTCTAGAAAGGATGAAAAAAAATAAAAATTAGAGTATCTATCAGCAAAAAGACAAGACACAGTATCGACACAATTGAGATTCACCCAAGAACATTTTTAAAAAGGAGCCAAGAGAGTGTCTAGAATCTCAAGGAAGAATGGATTACATATAAAAATGATCACGTTGAAAAATTCAAAGAAAAAGAATGTGACCACAGGACAATCGTGTCATAAAAACCTTGAGAGGAATACTACACAGTCCAAGATAATACTAGTCTCTTAAAAGAAAGGAGGAACAAATAGAATTAAAAGACTCATTAAAATAATGATTCAAATTGGTCACAAAGAAGATGTCAGGGTTGTAGCAACGAAAATGCCTATGAAGGACATCCTGAAGATTGAATATTTCACACATGTATAATGATGGGTCCCTAAAGTATTTAGCTTATAAAATTTTGCAGATCACTTATGTCCTTTTTTGAGGGACAAAATTCATGGCTCTTCACTTTAATAGGGACATAAGTCAGGAAATGTTATAAATCAATGATTTAGATAATAGAAAACAATTGTGGATAGTTTTTTTATAGCTATTAAATTAAAAATTTTAATGTTTTCTAGTGAGGGACATTTGATTTATGTCCCTGCCTCCCCTTTTAGGAACCCATCTTTACTTATGTACACACTACACTGAATACAAAACATATGGCAATAATAAGTAGGAATATGGTGAAGGAGATTGTGTCCTCGAGTACGATGACTCCTATCATAGTAGTGATGACACCAGGACTAAAAAGGGACATTACTGTAGTGACAGTTGTATGATATGATCTGATAAAATATAATAAAAAATTAGGGAAATAGTGTAGTGTAAAAGAATAATGAATCTAACAAATATTTATCAAAAACTTGTTCAGATAGTGGGTAAGGAAGGAAAGAAAAGGAAGATTTTTAGAGTTTAAATATTAATAAAAAAAGAATGTAAACAACAATTAGGTTTAGAAAACACGAACAAATTTAGAAAGACACGTGAAAGATATAAATAGTTCTGTACTAATTTGAGAATAAATAACACGTGAATTGAGTCGATCATAGAGACGCATAAAAAATTGACACTATGTGACTTTAATAACCAATTTATTGAAATAATATGAACAAATGAAACAATTATAGTGAACTATGCCAATTTATTTGATAACTAGGTATTGTTCTAGAATGAGGATGTGCTAAAGTGCGATAATGACTTATTAATACTACAAAATTTTTCTCTAGGAAAAGCCTGAGATTAAAACCCAAAGAATAATGAAAAAGATAACCTCGATGACGATGATAAAGACATACTATACAGTAACAATTTGGACAGTAACGGCCTTGAAAATGATTACTGATGCAATGGAACATGTAGTCCCAATAAGAACACTTGCTAATTGAATGGGAAGAAATCTGACTATAGTGACGAAGATGATGAGTGATAGGCATTATCTTCTAAAAAATAGTTACAAAATTTATAAATAATTTGTATAAATCTTGATGAATATGATTGTGAAACTTTATCAAAATAAAGAGGAAGAAAGGGGAATATAAAATCAAAATCATGAGAAAATATGGATTTAAATGCATATAATGGAGGTCAATCAGATCGACTATCCGAAGCATGCTGACGATGGACTATCAGTATCAGAATAATTTGATAGGCTGGGGTCTCACGATCTGAAAAACCTATAACACAATATGTGAAACAGATACCTGGGAAATGCCTAGCAAGGACATTACGAATATCATAAAGAAAACGAGGACTGTAGAAGAAGGCTTTGATATTAGAAGTATTGCTAAAAAATTTATCCAAATCAGAAAATATTTTGACACATTCGAAGCAAGTGGCATTTAGATTGTCACTAAGAAACATGAAGTAAAAGTAACGATATGCAGTAAAAGGAGGAGCACGAGGATATGTATGAGACATTTGAATAAGAAAGAAAATTTGATTTTATTTATAAGGTATATATACAAAATTTACATAATAAATTTAACTCAAAATAATGAAATATTCGAAACGTATAATAAACATAATTAAATAAATTTATAATTATAAACAAGTCTATCA